TATGATACCACTGTGATACCTAAAAATATTGACTCTGTTAAACAAAAGATACATTGTGATACCTAATCATATATRAGATSYATAGTGATACCACTGTGTTACATCTTCGATCGACCAGACAAACGACATCAATGTGATACCCAATCACAAATATGATGCATTGTGATACCATTGTAGTATCACCGGAGGACGGYGGCCGGCGGACGGTGGCCGGAGAGAGAAGAGAGGAGGGAGGARAGTTTTAAAATACCAAAAATATCCTTGTATTAATATTTTAATTCAAAATTGYCAAAATTATAAATTTCCTAATTTATCTATTGATTTGTGGTTAATATTGGTTCTCACAGTTACCACAAACTAATTAGTTCTCATTTGATTACGCCCCTATATATATATATATATATATATATAATTAGCAAGAACTTGTTTCAGTTGCATATCATAAGGAATTCGAACAACTGCTTCAAATACAGTATCGGGAAGTACCGTTTGCGGAACCTCAATATCCACTGGTTTATTAGCTAAATGGCAATTGGCGGCTCTCCTAGGGTTCCCTTATCGGGGATCCCTGGGGAAGAGGATCAAGTTGGCCCTTGCGAACAGTTTGATGCACTATCTCCCTTCAACCCTTTGAGCGAAATGCGACAAAATGAAGGAAAATCCATGGACCGACCCCATCATCTCCACCCCGTAGGAACTACGAGATTACCCCAAGGATGCCTTCGGCATCCAGGGGTCACGGACCGACCTATATATATATATACATATATATACATATACATATATATATATATACACATATATATATATATATATACATATATATATATACCTCTTGGATTGATTTAACAAATTAATTCGGAGGAGAAATGTAATTCATGGATGGATGAGATTATGGGGTGTTTGGGATTGCTTGTAAAAATAATTTATTGACTTATTTTGGTGTAACATTGGTAATAAGCACTTTTAAATGTTTTGATAAACAACTTATACCGGTGCCAAACCGATAATAGAAAGTTTTTGAAAAAGTTAAATTCTTCTGACTTATAATAAGTTGATAAATATTTTTTAAAAAAGTATAACTTGTTTCAAAGAAGAAATCCCAAACACCCCCTAAAAGTGATCAATAGTCAATATCACTTTTTACACTTTCATTTTCACGTGACACTTCTTCTCTTTATATATGTATATTTATCTAGGTGAAAAATTATATGAGAAGAATAGTTAAGATGAGAAATATGTACCGTTGATCACCTTTAATCGCACTTGATATGAGGATTGATCTAGTGCATCTCAATGCATCTCGTCCTAATGTAGATCTAAGGTGGATATCCCTTCTTACATTTTTCACCTTAATTCTTATTCTTACGTTTTTCAACATTAATGAGGCAATTCCCTTGTAAAACGCAATTCATAGGTGGACATGAAATAGTGAACTTTTATACTTCTCATCATAACTTCCCTTCTCACATGATACTTCGGTTATCTCTCTCTCTCTCTCTCTCTCTCTCTCTCTCTCTATATATATATATATATATAGACTTGAGATCATGGGTTTTTCGTGAGACCTGTAAGACCAATTCTCAACTCTTGGATTAGATCTACAATCTAAACATTCATAATCACAAAATTGCCACCGTGCAACTTTAGACCATTAGATCATTAGCTTATAAAGTTGATCAATGAACATAAATTGGTCTTACCGGTCTCACGAAAAACCATTGGTCTCACATGAGCCCAACCCTATATATATATATATATATATATATATAGATAGATAGATAGATAGATAGATAAATAGATAGATAGAGAGAGAGATGAGCGTTCAAATAAAAACCGCCCCAATTCTAAGAAACCGTGTAAATCAATCTCATTCATCCATTTTATTGATCAACGGTTAAAATTATTTTAGTTTATTTAAGGAAATAAAAAAAAATACATACTAAAAATATAATCTTATATCATCAATAAGGGTAAAAGTGTAAAAGATTATTAGTTTATTTAAGGGAAATAAAAAAATATATTAAAAATATAATCTTACATCATGCACCAGTTTCATACACTTCAATGATGAAATTATTTCATTGCAAAACGCATACATTATGCACATGTTTCATCCTCGCATTCACTTGCTAATGATACAACTAAATCTTAAATGAATCGGGTAACTATGCAAATGTTCCACTACTCCTCGTATGTGTTAACATCATGAACCAGTTTCATCTACACGAAACTTGTTTCATCATCATATTACTTCCTGACGAACCACAAACATTATGAACAAGTTTCATTTTCACATTCCCCAACTATATGGATCAACTAAACCACAAATGAATCGGGGTCGCCAAGCAAGTATTTCACCACTCATTGTTAATCCCATGTCATGAACCAGTTTCATGATGATGAA